CACACGCGCTCACACACACACACACACACACACACATATTAAAAGATTAATACATCACATATTTAACAATAATAATGGGTGCTTTCCATTTAATAAAACACAAGTCGATTAGATTTAGATTTATGATAGAATTAGATTTAAATCGAACTTAAATATAGATTTAGGATCACGATCTTTCTATTTCGACAGTTTGTAGGCAAATGATAATACATGATATAAATGATAATATAATTATGACTACATAAATGACTACATATATTATGACTACATTATCATTTGCCTACAAACTGTCGAAATAGAAAAATCGTAATCCTAAATCTATATCTAAGTTCGATCTAAGTCTAATTTTATCTTAAATCTAAATCTAATTCAGATAAAAATTGATGGTGGTGGTATTGATCGACGTCGTCGTTGTCGTCAATATATTTTTATTAATATATAAATTTTATTTTTATTAATATATAAATTTTTTTACAGGAATGGACATTCTCCGAGTCCTGTTGAGAGTCTCAACAACTATAATCCATTTAGGGTCCAGATCTTTTGCCAAAAACACTAAAAATGAAGAAATTCTAGAAGAAAAATTAAAATTAAATTGAGAATTGCGATAAATGTTATCAATTTTGAAATATTTGAAACGTCTGCCATTGTATCTTTATTAAAAAGAAGCTTTGGATGAGCAGCCGCGTTTCTTAAATTTTTAAAATATTCCAGGTTGTCGCTTAACTCTTCTTCATTCAATCCTTGGAATTTTAATTTTACACAAAAAAAAATCTCCCATTCTTTCTTTTCTCTTATTGGATAAAGATTTAAAGAGAATATTTTGCTCTTATTTTATGCAGGACTGTGATGTTTGTCTTCGAATTTCGTGTCCTGCATAGTTGTTCGAACAATTGTTTTTCTTATTAGAAACACATTGTCCCATGAGGAATATATCCGTATCCTCTTGATCAAGTCTTTCTCATTTTTAATTTTCTCAATTTCCAATATTTTTCAAATATTGCCAAATAAGAAGAGAGGGTTTGCGTCACAACGTGGCCCGACCACGAACCAGTCGTGAAAATTCGTAATTATCTTACGAAAAAATACCACACCTCAGCCGGGAATCGAACCTGGATCTCCTGCTTACGGGGCAGGCAACTTATCCCTTCGACTACCGAGGCAGGTGATGATATTTATCGCAAATAACGTATTTAAAGTAACACGTCAACAATACAATAATACACATATATACGTATATTACGATATACATATATACATGTATTCTCTCAAATCTCCACGACCGGTACTCCAGAGAGATGATGGTCGTATTCTCTCGATGCATGCAGGTCGGATTGCAGCGGCGACACCCTCCAACGCCATTGGCAAACATCTTATCTCTTTTTTCTTTTAATCGAACAATTATGTATATAATATTTTGATAGATAATGTGAAAGACAATAATGCATCAATGCGCTGATTATTTAATATTTAGAGACACCGCGGTTTCTCACTCGTACTAGCGTCGAGTGTGTGAAACAGCGATGGGACATCGACATTCGGTATCACGTCCGATTATGCTTTCTCTCTCGGTCGCGCGTCTTGTGTTAAGGATGGAACATCGAATTGCCCCCACTTTTTTCTCCTCGCTTCGCGATCTTTTTCACGAAGCACGGCATACGCGCGCGCGTATGGTGTGTGTGTGTGTGTGTGTGTGTGTGTGTGTGTGTGTGTG